CTGTAAACAGTTCATAGGCTAATCGACAGTGTGCTGCGTGTGAGTGCATTGACTTGCTCCTCCCTCTGGTTGTCCAGCACTTTGGATCTCTGGTGTGTGATGTGGGAGTGGAGGGAGGGGTTTGGCTGCTGGTCTGCCCGTTAACGACAGTATCATCCTATGCTGGGCAAGTGGTCAGCAAAGGAACAAATGTCTTTAGTTAAGAGATACTGTAACAGTGAACATGGTGTGAGTGGCAGTGTACCTTTAATCAGCTCCACAAGAAATCAACCTAGTAAAATAAGCATGTCTTCCACTGTTGCATGAAACCTCTCCAGGAGCCTGCTTAGCTAAAGAACATTTCACTGCAGCCATGTTTAGCTTTACAAAGAGTGTCATGCATTATGCAATACATTTAAATTACAGTTCTGAACAATACAGCTCTGTTTTGTAAGGTAACAGAGACCGTTCCTTTTTTTTTGTGACGTTTGACAGTATTTTCTCTTCTGGATCTATAAGTAGAAGCCCTCCTAACAAGGGCAAGGGGTCAAGAAGTGATGCACAAGTAAAAAACTGTTAGCAAGGATTTAAAAGTGGCTGTTGTAAGAATAGGACTGTGATGGGCACAGCTAGCAAGACTCTTTGGGAGTAAGTAGGTATTTGAGAATACTGCCATTTGCACTGTGAAATGATAACAAATTCTTAGTTCTTTTAGGAGCCAAAATTATATATACACAAAGTTTTTCGTAATGTAAAGCTCCAAATACCACGTTGCTAATACATAGGTCATCTAGATAATAGCAGGTCACCATGTGGAGCTTTGTAGTCTTAACCATGCCTAGACAAAGAAATCAGACTCTTTGACAACATCCTAAAGTGAGTTGTCTATCTCCATATCCACTACCCTTCTTTACGCTCTGTCAAAACAGTTGAGCAACAGACCTTTCGTGTGCTTCTGTTCTCAAGGAGCTTTTCTGGATTGACAGTGATTTTCCTGCTTTGGGTAGCTTTCTGAAGTGAAAATGGCACAAAGCACCACAGGAAGACAGGCATAAGCTATTATTCTTACTGACGGTAATGCACTTCACAGATAAAACTGGCTCCTAGAACTAGTTCAGCATAACTTGTTTGTGCTGGTTCACTTGCTTGTTCTGATGAGCTTTTTTTTGGTCCCAGAGGTGCAACTTTACAATACCTGGGCTAGTGGCAGTTGTTTGGATGACTGGTGTGTGGCACATGCTCTGTGGCTGCATTACTTCTGATTTTTAGCCGTCATAGTTTGTTATAAGTACCCTGTGGACAGCTGCCAGTTGTAGGGACGGATGTGGCCAGTAGCTCTCTGCCTGAGGAGCAGAGTAATGCGTGTCCAGCCTGCATTCCCCATGTTACAGCTGCTCTTGGTGTTCAGTCACATGCACGTCCACACACTCCTGTCAGGGCAATCTTCAAGTGGGGCGGAGATCTTTGGACAATTAAACAATTTGACTTATGAAATCCTTTCTTCTTCTTCTTCTTCCTTAGGGAAAAAGGGTTATTGAAATCCTTCTCTGGAACAGAAACCAATAAGATCTGGCCACAGATCTATGCCTTCCTCCAAACCAAGTTGCCAGATGTGAGCCAGAAAGATGCTGCTGCTCCCAGGTGAAAATAGGTTTAACTTCTGCTTATCTTTCATAGCTCACTACATGAGATTCGTCACTCAAGGATTTCTCTAAGTAGTCTACCAGACTGATCAATGATTAAAGTTTAATGCTGTCCTCAACTTACATGATGACAAAACCTTGTTTCCTGTGGTCCTCACTTTAATGCTGTAATTTTTTTAATATTAAAAATACCTAATTTTTATAATACAGTAACTTTAACAGAAGCAGCTACTCCTCTGTCTCTTATTCAGAAAATACTTAAGTTTGCAAAGATTGACTGGTGCAGGAAACACATTTCAGAGTACACCTTAATTACAAAGTATGGTGATTGATTTATTGGCTCATGAAACATAGTGTAAAGCAGTAATAAGGACAGGAAAGCACAGTTCTTGATTGTGTGATTAGTTGGGGCCAACCAGAAGCTGTGCAGACCATGTCCACCATTCTGCAAAAACCCATTTCAGACCACAGCTGGCACATGTATAGGCTGATACCATGAAAGGCAGTCAGCTTCTTTTACCTTTGCTTGCACAAATGTTAGTTGATTTTGCTGGGCTTATGTTACACTCAACACTTGCTTGGATAATTTGCCTTTCTCCTATGTTTGTATTTCTGCCCTCAGAGCAGCTATCTTGCAGTCACGAGGAATGGAGTTTCAGTGATGTGGAACACCTTTGGTAAAGCCTCTGTGCAGGTGTCTAAGACTAAGACAGTAGATACAGAACAGGTTAAGTGTCATCTGGTAAACCAGAAGCGAGATCTTAACTAGCAAATGTCGTTTTTTATACAATCTTTAAAGAAAACACCTGCTCGCTGATGCCAGCACCGAGGATTTCCAGTTGTCAAATTGTTACCTTAGTCAAATTACTGTAGCAAGTTTTACTGTAGCAATTGGATCAGTTCTCCTGAGTTCATACTACTAGCTCTTGTATTTATTTATTCACTAGATAACTGGAGGTACAAGCCTCCACAGGCCAGGTAACTCAGACATTGCTCTTTTTCAGTGAACTCTTCTAGTCCTTTTTTTGGTGCTCATCAGATTGAGTCTCAAGAAGGGTCAAAAAACCTGAGGAACAGCCGTGTCTCAGCAACGTCTGAAGTTGCTGTGTGCTACTAATGCAGCTCCCAATTCCCTTTTGCAGAGACTAAAAAACTACAGACCTGTGGTGCTGACATAGCTTGGGCTACATTTGCACACGTGGTTTTAGCATTATCAATACTGAGACATTTGAGCATGTCTAATATCACATTTGTCTAATGACTCAAATGTAGAATTTGTAAAGCTTTCTTTCCCATTTCTGTGAGCGAGAAATACGGGCAGCAGCTGCCACTGCAAGCAGCTTCCCTTACAAGTTAAAGAAAGCTTGCCAAAGGGCTGACCACATCTACTTTTGTCTTCAGAAATGGTTAAGAAACAGTAGTCACCACATTACAATGAGAAGCCCTCATGTGCTGCTTACTTCTATTGATGCATTTTGATTTCAATAAAAAGCAGCCATGCTTGGTTTTTTTTGCCAGCCTACATAAGTTTCAGTTAGCTGGAAGGAGATGGGTGAGGGAACCTCTTTACGATAGGACACTTAGTCCCACACCATCCAATTTTAGCCCCTTAGAAATCCTAAAAAAGAACTTTCAGTATATCACAGGCTGCTAGATCAATGTGGGTTTACTGCTAATGGTAGCATCTAAGTCACTGTGCTACACTGCCCTTACCATCCTTGTACATAACTTCTAGTTAAAACAACCTGAAGTTATTAGCTTCCCTTAATTAACTAATTATTAACGAGAAGGCAGTGTTTATTTTCTGGAGTAGCTGTCAAACTTTAAAGAAAAATAAAAGCGCTTTACTGCTGAAGCTGGCTATCTCTAATTTGCAGTCTGTATCAGAGCTGCTGCTTTGCTCCTTTATCCTTGGTCTGTCTGCAAAAGAACTGCAAGAGAACACAAGGCACATGAAAGGCTGCTGCTGGCAGTGGATTCGTAGCTCCTATTTCTGTTACTGTATTTGTGCTAATACTCACTCAAGTATACACTGCAGACTTAAGACTTTTCCCTATCTCTGCTACAAGCAAAGCTGAAAATTACTGGATCTCATCTCAGCATAGCTTTTGCCTGAATTAGCAACTGCAGCTGGACAGTGTTGATCAAACTGTTGAAATGCAGATACCTTCCAATCCTTACATACAATCACAAAAATATAGTAAAGGACCTCCATGTGTACTGATACCATTATTTGAGACAAGAGCTGCCTTCACTGGAGTCTTCCAACCACAGCACATATTTTTATAGGTTGAACTGCTGTAACAGCAGCAAGTTAGAAAAACACAGCAGAACTCTGGATTGCAGAGGTTCTGCAGAAGGTCTTGACTAGAAAGAGTATCTGGATTTCCAGCTCCTCAGACAGGAAGCTTTTAAGGAATTTCCATTTTAATTGTTTGAGCTGGCAATGTCAGAAAGCCACTTCGGTTAGTAGCGTGTGAAATACCTTTCAAACCCCATGACACCTTATGAACTGCAACAACAGCTTTTTGTTTAAACTGAAGTCTTAGCCTAACCCTTGTAACTCAAGTTCCCTCTATCAGATACTTCTCCCCATAACAAGACTTGGTTTAAAAAAAAAAAAAAAAAAGTCAAGTTAGCCATACAAACAAGAGAGTCAGAATCAGAAATGCAACCAAGCACTCATACATAGACAAATGTTGCTCACATTTTAGGACAAAACCAAGTTATGTTTAATGAAAGCACAATTTTAACATTTCGATCCCCTTAGCAGAGGTAGTAAGACAGTGTTTTAATCTAATCCATTCAGATCTGAAATACTGATACCAGATACCTATTTATTGCTATTAGTGATAACCAAATTCAAGAGCTTATTATGTCAGCAAAGTAGCATGAATACAGTTGTGATCTCAAAGATTCATAGATGAAAACACGTCCACATCTGCGGTAAGACAATAGCAGATTCTACCAAGAATCTACTGCTTCTTGTAAACATTGTATTTGTGCAGTTTTTTTTTTTTTTTTCTTACTTTGATTTCTAAAGTCATGAAAGGCAAGGTTAGCAGAAAACACATCCAGTTTCACATTCGGCATACAAGAACCCTGCTCTTCAAGGACAAGCAAAAACCTAGCAGCACATGTTCAAACAATATTACAAGTTCTTCTGAATTACACAGCCTTCAAAATTCCTTTCCCCATAAATCCAAACAACAAAACTAACAAATATCTGACACCAAAAATAAAGTGCAGTACCCAGAAAAATAAGTGTCAAGAAAATAGCCATGTTTGTTTCTTTGAAAAAAAAAACCAAAACAAACCAACCAACCAAAACCAAAACAAATCAAACAAAAAAAGAACTTGGCCTCAGTGTTAAGAGCACTATACTGTATCCATCATTTTGGATTCTTCTTCATCTCTTTGTATCACAGAGTTTAAACTGGAGACATCTGGGTTTATGGAACCTTGTGCATCACCTGCGTTCTGCAACAGATTGAAAAATTGACAGCTTAGTTCTCCATAACTGTATACATGGACAGAGAGAGAGAAAAAGATTTTAGCTTAAGCTGGACTCTTCATGTTGTCCATCTTAAGATGAGATAAATTTGCAATAGTGAGGAAATAAGGTGTAAAAAGTTCAACAACCAATACTATCTCACTATCTCAAGAATTCTTTAAATTTGCTGGCATAGCTTGTATTTGGTCTCAATATTTCCAGCATCTGACTGCACGTTTACTTAAAATTCAGCTGTTGGATCTCACTTAAGAGGTACTTCAATCAAATTATTTCAAGTATGTTTTTTCAATTGTGACTTCTTCCTTAATTCCTTATTTTTGACAATTTTTTAAGTTGCTGCTTCATTCGAGAATGTGGCCATCACTAGATGGCCACATTTTGTTTTGGCAACAAAAGACCCAAGTACCCTCAGTTTCCTCACAGGACTTCCCTTACTCTTGAATTACCAGAATGATCCCATGAAAAGAGTTAGTCATTTTATACTGAGAGCTCATTTCATGGCTTGTGGTGTACTGGGAATACAATTCTAGCACCTGATCAGTTTTACAATGCAGTGTTTATTTTACACATGAAACTGGAAGGGCACTGAACTAACCTCTGCTTTTGACCTTATGCTGAAGCTTTCTAAATTCTAGCAAGTAAAAGGGAAGTCCATGTAAGTCTTGCATATTGATAGCACTGTGTGTTCTACCTTGAGCTCTAGCAGTTCTAGGAATAACCTTTATATTTCAGAAAGGTACAGCTTCTCAAGGCAGGACCTAATACTACTTTAGTTAAACCAGTTTCTAGAAGTAATAAACCTACCTGTGAAAGAGATGTCAGCTCTCCTACAGGACCAGGATTGGTGCTGAGATGATCTAGTGACATAGCTGGAAAGCCACTTGATTGTGACCAGCTTCTCACTCTTGTCTTGAATGCCTCAAGTTCATTTTTAAAAACCTCAAAATAGCCTTCTCCTGTCTGCAGAGAGAAAAATAAAATATTTGCACTTCAGACAGATTTACTTTTGAGTTGTAAGCATACAGTGCTGAAAAAAACCCACAGAGCAATGCATGTTACAGCCTTTGGGAATTACAACTGTGAACAACTCAAGAATAATGGCAGTCCATTTAAAAGGAAATTTCAGGCAGAGATTTAAGACTATCTGTAGTATTTATATGTAGAAGTAAAGTAACTGATTTATCTAAGGACATGTGAAAATAAATGTAATATCAGCCATTCTTTAATTCCAACTCAGAAGCCAGTACCCTTAGAAGAGCAGGTGCTTGTTGTAGCACTCTGGTCAAAACTAAAGCACAAGCTGATCTGCACTTTAACTGAGCTCTTTTAGGCAATGTTGATGTCCTTCACAGTCTTGAATAACTGAATACAGTCTACAGCAAACCACACTTTTAGTCTTGCTTTGTTTCTCCTTCATAGCTCTGGACTACTTTGGGCCATGCTGTGAACTGCAGATGGAATGGAAAGTTGTGACAACACACAGGTACACTCTGCAAACACTGGTGTAATTAGCCAAAATCAGTCCTTGGAGTGGTCTGTGCTTGCTATTGTTCCTTAGTTATTACTGCTCTATAACACCCATGTCACCCCCCCTGCTCTATCTTGGCTTCCCTTTGGGATAAGCAAAATCCACAAAACTTGCATTTTCAGAGTAAGAATTACACCAAAATATTCTGTCTAGAAAAGAATTGCTCCTATAAGCCTTATCAGTCAACAAAATATTTAGCCTCTTACAGTTAGGAAAAAACCTTCTCTAAAACACTGGTCCCTTGTACAGCATTGAGAGTTTATCTCATCATTACCCAAGTTGACTTACTTTGGCTTTTTGGAAAAAGACACGAAAACAGCCTCTTGGATCCACATTGCAGCTTCTGGCAATTTCTATAATAAACTGCATTACAACTGCTTGGTGTGCTACTTGCTCCATCAGAGCTCTTTTCTGAAAAAAAAAAAAAAAAAAAAAATGCTGATGAGGTTATGACTTAAAAGATATTTCCTGTGATTATATTTCTAAAATTCAGCAAAAATTCCTTTTGTTCCAGTTCCTAAACATAAGAGAACCGATGCTCATGGAGGCAAGGGGACTGATAATGAGCTGTAGCTGTTATGTATGTGTATACACATATATGTACATTATGTGACAGTGCCCTATGGTTTTTCTTCAGTGAAGCAAAGACAAGTTGGGAGGAACAGTTACACAGCTAATCAAGTTGGTCAGCTTTTCTGTAATCCAAGTGAGAAACTACACTTTCCAACAACTTAAACAACATCTTCATACCTGTTCACCTTCTAGATGAAAACACCACATCATGAGATACGTAGAGGTTTCTTCACATACAAGATATGGGTGATCAGACAAAAATTTTTGACTATCATCCCATCTGCTCAGCATACCTAGTACGAGAAACATAGTTAAGATACTCTAAATGGGTAAGTGATTTAATGCAGCAAGGAAGCTACTTGCATTGATATCCCAGTATTTATAACACCTTTGCAATTCAGTAAACTCAGAATGACAGCAAGCAGTTAAACTTGGGGGTTTTATTTATACATCTAAACAACGCTGAATGAGCATTACCAGAAGGCATGATCAGACTTTGCAGTTCTGAAACCAGATTTTAACAGTCACAATTTCCTATATTTTAATGCATCCTTAGCATTGTTGATACGTTATTTTTAATTGGTTCCCATACATACTAACGGAGCAGTATCTTAGTAGTTATATCACCAAATACTTCAAAAAGTTAGGGATGGTGATTTACATTCAGTGATTCCAAGAAACACAAATCTTCTGTCTGTAAATAAGAATGCAAAGAAAAGAATGTGTAATCTGTCAAAAGTGAAAGTGCATCTAAGACATGGTTTGCTAGGCTTTTAGGAAATTTGGATTTAATTACAGGAACAGCTTGATCTCAAAAAAAAAAGCCACATCAGTAGTGGAAAGCTAACGAGAATATTGAATTGTGATAGCTTGAAGCCACCCTCATGTAAAGAGCCAAGTTAAAAAATCAGAACTCAGTACTCAGACCACTTCTTAAAACCATCTTTCATGTATCACTGACAGTCAAGTTGTTACTGGCAACTGGTACCAGATGTGCAGCTTTACCCATCTATCAGCGGGCTAAAGATAAGTCAGTGGCAATGACCTCAGCTAATCTTCATTCTAGAAAATAAATGCCTAAAGAGGAAACAATACTTCTAATATTTCTCTGGGCTGTTTTAAGAGAGCTATTCTGGGCAAGTTCCTTATTGCTTGGAAGCCAGAACAGGAAACTGAAAAATCCTTAACTCAGAGTAAGTGCTACTTAGCGACAAGTGGAACATGGGTGTGTTATCAGTATTATTATCCGCAACAACTCAAATCTGAATTTAAACAGTAAAGTAATTCTGCCCAACTCTTAGCTGGGAAGCCTGCAAGAAAGTCTCTTTTCTCTTTCCTGATGAAATGCACAGCAGGGGGGATGTCTTCTGACTCCACTAAAACTACACTCAGCAGAAAAGGTATTTGAGAGCACTTTCCCTGTCACTGCCATCTGCATACTCTGAGAGCGTGGCACCTCAGCTTCCTACCTGCAAGCCTTGCTAAGGCTAACAGGGCTAGAAACACTTTCTATAAAACAATTTTAAGATCCTTAGAAGCCAAATAACTTGGTAAAAATTAGCTTGTACAAAATGTAATTTTGCCTTCCTGTTCTTGATTGTTCTGACATTCCAGACGTGGCTGTACTATACCAAAGAATGAAATCAGCTTGTAACTAAGAATGGAGAGTGCTTCAGAGAACTATCAAAATTTCAGATTACAAAATCATCTTTCTGCTTAATTGGGTTCAAAAATTATGACAGAGCTACAGTGACACCTAGTGGATAATTAAATATAGTTTTAAGAAATGCACAATTCCATGCACACACACTCAGTAGGTGTTCACAGGGACTTCCTTCTAATCAGTCATTACCCTTGTTACTAAGTAGCCACCAGGAAAATGTTTATTAAAATAACACAGCTATGGACAGTCTCATGCACTTTTATACACACACCCTACATTTTCATGAATGTTCCTGTCTTTTCCTACTGAACAGGAGAAAAGTGTATAACTAGTTTTTAGGACTTAAGCTCATTTGAGTTTGGATTGGGTTGGGTTTTTTTTAAGTTCTTGTTGGTTACAGGAATGAACAAGCTTCTACAGTTTACAACTTATTTTGATCTGAAATTATAATCTGTTCTGATAAAATAAAGCTGAACAGTCTCTTAGCAAGGTCTTCCATTTGTTAACAAGCAGTCTGTACAATAAAAAGGCTGCACAAATTCTGTGTGTGACATGCAAAATGCAGGAAAAGGCATACTCACCAAAGTGTTTCAGCTTTTGCTCATGTTTTTGCATAAATGATTCAGACACATTTTCATCTTCTATTTCTTTTCTTCTCTGGTTAATCAAACTCTTGAGGAAGAGAAAAATAGTACTGTCACAGAAACTCCAGACATACCTTTTTGTGATATATAGGAGTGTTGTATTTTAATGTTACTATTTAAAGGGCTACATTTTAATTTTAGAGTCACATCATATACTTGAGAAGGTTTTCTTTAAAAAAGTGCACTGCCTAATAACAGAGTTTAAAAACCTCTGTATCGTCCACTGACCAGAACTCTGAGAAACTTCTTTCCTCAGGAAGGAGCTTACTGGTCTGTCAACAATGAGAATCATGAACACTGCAGCCTGGATGCTCTGCATCTGTGAAATTAGGAGGTGCACCAACTGCTAAATTCAATTGTGAAGCCAAAGATGAGATTCTATTATAAAAAAGGGTTTGTGGTAACTAATCTGTATTACAGTAGTTACTAGAAGCAGACTAACAGTTTTACATTTTAAGAGCGTGGCACAGTAGAGAAGCACACTCTTCATGTGAAGAAACTACCAGTGCATTTGGCAACACTTGCGCTCCACAGAACCATAGACTGTTTTGGAGACATTTAAAGATTACACCCCTCCCTGCCAGGGACATCTTTCACTCTATCAGGTTGCTCAAAGCCCCATCCAACCTGACCTCTGTTGCCTCCAAGGATGGGGCATCCACAACTTTCCTGGGCAACCTGAGCCAGTGGTTCACCACGCCCATCATAAAACACTTCTTCCTTAGATCCCATCTAAACCTGCCCTCTTTCAGTCAGGCTGTGATTAAAAAAAAAAAAATCTCCATCTTTCGTAGAAGCCCCCTTTAAGTGTTGAAAGGCCACAATAAAGTCAGTAAGGGCTCCCCAGCATTGTCTCTTCTCTATGCTGAACAACCCCAACTCTCTCAATCTCACAAGATGAACACAGGAGAGGTGTTCCATAGCTCTGATCATTTTCACAGCCCTCCTCTGGACCTGCTCCAACAAGTGCCTGTCCTGCTTGTGCTGAGGGCTCCAGAGCTGCACCCAGTACTCCAGGTGGGGTCTCACCAGGGTGAAGTAGAGGAAGACAATTTGCATCCCTCAGCCTGCTGGGGGATGTGCACCCCAGGACATGGCTGGCTTTCTGGGCTGCAAGTGCACTTCACCAGCCCATACCTAATACCCAGAGGACCCACGCAAGTTCTGATCCACACTTCCAGCAGAAAAACATCATCCAGGTTTACAGTACAAGTGCAGCTCCCTCCCTTTCATGAGGCAAATAAGAAAAAAAGCCCAAGCCATTTAACACCTGCTGTGGTTTTGTGCTGTACCGGACACAAAAGACACTCAAGATTAGTGTCATATGGAACAAACAAACAAACAAAAAAGAGGCTAACACTTGTTTTCATGCACACCAACACAGGTCATACCTTATTAAATACCTCCTTACTAACAGGATCTGTGTTCCATAGATTCTGCCTGGCTGTATTGTTTAGTGCTTCTTCTTTTCTTCTCCACTCTTCCTCTCTCAGTTGCAACTCTGAAGCTTTCAACTTTGCTTGAGCAGATTCCTGATCGTGGGATTCTGAATTATGCAGTATTAAGCTACCGAGTTTTTGCTGGGCCTCTGCTAGGTTCCATGTGTATTCTACAGAGTGCTTCACAGACTCTCTTTCTTTTTGGCAGGCTAATTCAACCCCTTGGCTGTACATCTGTGAGAAAAATCAGACATGCTATTTAATGAGGGAAAATTGACAGTTTACACCTGGAAGGCACCTTAGATATGGAGCACTATATTCACAGCAGTGGTACTGCACAGATAAGAGTTTTTTTAGAAGAAGACTTCTAATTCAAGCTGCCTTAGCTTCATTAAGGGCATGTGCAAAATCATGGATCATGCACTGCTCTCAGTAATAGCCTCCAGACTGTAAAAACTCTTTTAACACAGCTGAAACCTCCCTGGCTATCTTTGGGCTGCAATGCTAGCAACAGCCTTGTTGTTTTATTACAGTGAGAGTACTCTGAATACATGCTTCTCAGAAGAAAGTATCAGGTTTGTGATGTCAGATCACAACAGTGAAGTAACTGCTGCTGCCCATGTTTGAGTGTGGATGAGTACCCAGCTGAGGGCCAACATCTTTCCTTGAACTAACAGCGAAAGTGCAATTCAAGTTACAAGGAGGCTGAAGGCCCAGCACAAGCATATGCTCCTTTTGGTCAAACCTGCTGGGGGGGGTCACCGCTCACAGCTGCAAGGGAAAAGTAGCCTCTTCAGCAACAGAGCTTATGTTACTTTTAGGTGTGTGCTGGGAATTCTCTGTCAAAAGTTACCCTCTAAAGCATATGTCATGGCTTCCTATCAGGAGTGGAGAAAGAAACATCCCTACACATTGTCTCCTCAGCCTTCCAGTCAGTTCTGTGGTGCTGATAACCTCTGGCAGAGGGACATGACAGACAACACAATTTGTGAAAGATTACTTGGAGGAGACTTTAAATGCCGGTACATCAAAGCCCTTGTGCCAAATTTGGTAGCTGCAGCATTTTGGTTTGTTTTGGTTTCGCATGATAAAATTTCATTGTTCGGAAAACTTAGCGCAGTGGCAGCTTCACTACAGGCCACAGAGGAGAATTATCACAACACGGTTATGAGCCAGTGGCTGGCCCCGACACACGGAGCGACGGACCGCATCCCTGCTTGCTGTCGGACCAAGGACGCCGGCAGAACTCCCGCCCAGGTCCCTCCACACCTCCC